ATTTTTTTTCCCACTCACAGAAGTACCGGCAAACTAATGTAAGGCAGTGATTAAAATGCACTTTATAGTTTTTGAACATTTTTCTGTTGATAACAGATTTTTCAGAGTGGTAAGTTGGAGAAAGATGTCATCAAAGTAGTGGAAAACTTTTTCTTAGTATCTTAAAATGGGAGATGCAGGCTCATACATATGAAAGATTAAGATTCCAGAGTAAGAGCCCACTGTTACAGCTTCCTAGTGTTATGATTTTTATTAAAGAAAACCAGCCAGAACACAGTAGGTTCACCCTGCTGCAAATCAACTTCTGATGAAGCTGAACTAAAGCTGAAATGTAGCTAAAACTCTTACCATGTTTCCGGGCATTCCCGCTTGGCCTCTTTCTCCGGATGGACCCTGAAGTAAACATGAAGAATAAAGATCTCTGTAAAGTAATTTGCATATACATACTACAACAAAAACAGATCGGCAAAGAAAAACATAAGAAAATGATATTATGCACATGAAGACACTCTGACTCACTGGATCTCCTTTTGTTCCCGGTGATCCAGGCATTCCTGGGATTCCAGGTGTTCCCACACAAGGCTGATCGCCCTGTGAGATGAAGAAATAAAATACCAGGAAGTGAGCACACAAGTCTCTGTCATTGTAAACACACAGGCACTGACTTCAACTAACCCTTGGTTGTGTTGCCTGCTCCGTCTGCAGTCTCTCCAAACACTGGAAGCAGACAGGGCGACAGCTTATCAGACCAATGCCTTACTGTCACACTGAGAGCCAACCACATTATCCACATAACCATCATTTGCTATTTTATCTAGGGATTGAGAGTAACGTAGTTTTTATTCTCTGTATGTCCTGTACATGTGGCAGAATTGACAATAAAGTTGACTTTGACTTGACTTTGACTTTGACTTAAGCCATGCACAGTAGAATTTAATGCAAAACGCCATTGCCATTTTGCATTTAGCAAACGTATTGCAGCTGGTCTATTATTTCCTATGATTCTGAATCTGGAGAATCACAGAGTACATGCGAGCCTCACCAAGTCACAGCTGTCCAAGGGAGTTACGCCAGGCCTGCCCTGGTCTCCCTTTTCTCCCTTGGCACCAACCATCCCCGGCACCCCTGGCAACCCTTGGGAACATCCCCCTTCGCAGTCATCCTGTGTCACACACAATGAAACAAGCACACATGTGTATACCCAAACACGCCGTGCCATTCCCATTGCATGAAAGTTTTAATGATAAACTTACATCCTGACTTCCCGGGGAGTCTCGAGGCAGTTGGTTTGGTCCGATGTAAGGCTGCAGAATAGGCATGGAGATGGAAATTCCATGAATGTGATTTTAAACATTAAACTTAAAAATGACCACTCACATTACAGCCACCGACTCTGCTCTGGCTTATTTGAGAGAAAACAAAAATACTTTATGTTCTCCAAGCACAGTTCAAGGACAATGTTGTAACTAAGCCAAGTTACTTTAACAATTAAATAATGTCATAATACCATTATTTCTTAATAATGAAAGAGTACAATGCAAAATCCCTTTGGTAAGGTATAGTAACATTTATCGTATAGACAGTCTGTACAATGACTGTCTATTGTTTAGACGTTTATTGTACAGACTTGTACTAGAAATTGAACGCAGTAGCCTGGTACCAGTTGAGTATCGCATTTTAATTCTGCCAGAAAAAACAGACCCACATAGGAGGGTCATTCTCATACAAAAAAAAAAAATTGGTTTGTCAAAGTAAGAAAGTTGCAAACATTTACTAAAAATGTCTAAGCTGGCAGATCGCAGTTAGGCAAGTCAACATTTTGCTGCGGTAAAGGTTTAGCTTAAGACACAAACTTTCCGGTGGCAACTGTGTCTGCTAGCCGACCAAACATAGTCTTGTTGTCACTGTCATTTTCTAGTATTTGTCTTGCTATTTTGCTGAACAAATACGATTTCACAGAGTTGTTGAAATTCCACACTTGATGGGGTACACTTCACTTTATCACCGAGGGCTGCTTTATCACCCAAAGCTGCAGAAACCTGGTACAAACTGTCACAACCTTTGCAAGCAATATGTCTGTGTATGACTATCTCATTCCGCACAATGTCACAACAAAACAAATTACCGAGGCTCCAGAACTGAAGGCATTTCAAGCGAGAGACACATCCAAGCTGAGAACTAAATTTTTGTTCCTATCACAGTACGTGAGCTCAATCATTGCATTCTATAAACTCCAATGGGGGGGTTGGAGACTTGGAGAGCTTTTTGCTG